TACCTATTCAAAATTAATCGGAATTAATACCATCGGTCAAGTTCCTCGTACGTTATTTACACTTTACAGGTTATGTTTAGTTTTGATTTGACGGATACCGTTGACAGCAAAAAAGCGAGGGGTACCAATCCAACAAAATAAAAAAAATAATGCGTTTCTATTTCTTTCGGCATCATTTCTGTCTAGAAACGCACGCAAACTGGGCCAATCAAGTACGGTTTCGGTATTGTTTCCACATCGAAATAGAAAAAATCAGTTAAGTACCTACTTGAAGCTATTTTTGAAATCTATTTAATTTAATGCATTTCCTAAACGCAACTTGCATGTTTTCCGGGAGCAAATTTTCCGAGAGCGCATTGTTCTGGGAGCGAATCCGGGTACAGGGCCGTATCCAGAGGAGGGCAAGAGCAGGATTAGCCCGCTCTTGGGACCCGCTTTGTCGCTCATGAAAATTTCTTAATATGACACAATATAACATGCTCATAAATGATCAAATATTTCCTAAAAAATTTAACAAAAGAAGAGATAAAAAACTTAAACAGTTTTATGTGGCCATCCGCCATATTAATTAAGAAATTGTTTCAGGTTGACAGAGGGATTTAATAGTGTATTTTCTATCATTAAATGAGTTAGGTTTATTGTGCGTTTCCGTGGTTGCATTTCCCAGGTTGTGAGTGCATAAATAAATATACATAATATATTATTATCATACGTAGTATGTTCATGTACCTACCTATAAGAGAGGTCTTCAAATGACTTGGACATCGAACAATCGAGTTTGGTCTTATTCCTAAGAAAATTGGTGCATAAATAAGGATTTAGAATAATATATCGCTTTTATTTATTTATTTATTTATTTAGGTGTTTGCTCAAAACAACAGAAAAACATTCCATATAAAGTTTTGAGGACAATGATTGTGACTAAAAAAAAACGTATACAAGTAACTATCTGATAAAAACAAGTGAAGTAAGTAAATAGTATTTTTATAAACATAAAACTAAATTTTTCTTAAACTGCGATCAAGACAGGCCAAACAAGTGCAAATTGTTCTTTTGAACTTTGTGCAAATCCTCGTGCAAATCATTGTACGTCATCATGCGGTTAATTGGTGAATTGTCATGCGTTTTTGAACGTACTCTAGGGATTTCAAACATTGTGAATTTACTTCTCGTTCTATGATCGGGGACATTGATATTGATTAGAGACAGCAAATAGGAACAGTTTATCTGATTATTAAGAAGCTTAAACAAAAATATTAATGAGATATTACGTCTTCGATCACTTAGTCTCGTAAAATTATACACATTTGTTAAATATTCATAATGTTCGTAGTGGGGGTATACCCTCGTAAGTCTAAAGTGAAGAGAGCGTAAGAATTTACTTTGAATCATTTCGATTGCCTTTATATGCTTTTTCGTATATGGTGACCAAATGGTAGCTGCATATTCCAGCTTAGATCGCACTAATGCATAATAGAGAACACTAAACGTTTTTTGATTTCTAAAACAATGCGAACATCGCAAGATAAATCCCAAGCTAGAGTACGCGGCTTTAATGACATTCTGGATATGTAGGTCGAATTTCAATTTGGCATCAAAAAGCACTCCCAGATCTTTGTGATTGCTAACAACCTCTAATACTCTTCCCTGAATGTTGTACTGAAATATAATATCATCTGCCTTACGAGAAAAACGTAGGCATTTACATTTATCTATGTTCAGGGGTAAGTAATTATTAGAACTCCATTGTACTATGGAATCGAGATCAGTTTGTAGCTTTTGACAATCCGAGTAGTCTTTTATTTGGTAGCTCAGCTTCAAATCATCTGCAAACAGTAAAACATTTGCATACTTAATTACATCGGTCAAGTCATGTAACAACTGTTACAATTATTTTAAGATGGATTCTCAATAAACAAAGAAAAGTGGTCAATAACAGCACTTACCTTGGGTCTGCTTTTGGTTCTCAGTTACAATAATAATATGCCTCGACTAATATTTAACTCAGGGTTGAGATGCTCTTTTTCTACAGGACTTCTGGGTGTTTTACAATTCACTGCTTCGATATAGAAAACAAAATATAATGCAAAATGACAATACCAGTATAATTTTCTTCAATACTTTTTAAATCAATTTCTAGTTCTAAACTTCTTGATTCCCTAAACAATACAACTAAACATTATTTCTCCCTCTCTTAAGCTAAACAAAATCCTACTGTTTTTACAACCCTCCAATTACGCAAATACAAAGCCATGTACAAAACTGAATTACACAAATCAAAGACGAACGCCTTTGATAAGTATATTTCTAATTCAAAATCCAAATCGAAAACGATGTGGAACTTGATAAATCAAAACAGGAAAAAGTCTCTATCACCGAAATGTCCCATCGAACCTAATTCTTTGAACATTTATTTCACTAGTGTCGCCGAAAATATTATTCACAAGCTACCCAACACAAATATTAACCCCATCAAGTTAATGGCTGGGATTGATGTGCCTATTGCCGTCTCATTCTCTTTTAAGGAGGTGTCATATAGCGATGTTCGTATCATCATTGATAATATGAAAACAAATAAAAGCAAAGACTGTTATGGGTTGAGTTTTGAAATTATAAAAACTATAAAGAATTATATTATTATACCTCTTACAAAAATTATAAATTCTTGTATCAAAGAAAGTATATTTCCGAGATCTTTAAAAATTGCGTCAATCGTGCCCATATTGAAAAAGGGAGATCTAACCGATCTAAATAATTATCGGCCTATTTCTATTGTCCCTGTAGTGGCAAAAATCTATGAGAAAGTGCTATCAAACCAAATTAGTGCATACTTTGAAGGAAACAATTTGTTCTCGGAACAACAGTTTGGTTTTAGAAAAAATAAGTCAACCACTGATGCAGTCATTGCTTTTGTAAATAATATATCACGCAGTTTTGAAAATAGAGAAGGCAATATTGCAACTTTTTTAGATCTCCAGAAAGCATTTGACTGTGTTTCTCATAGTATTCTACTTGATAAGCTTCGTCACTATAATTTTGGTACAACCAGTTGCCAGTTACTTGCCTCTTACCTAACAGATAGAACTCAATATGTTACTGTAGACGGCAGTAAGTCGAACGTACTACCCGTAATTCACGGAGTTCCGCAAGGGTCTGTATTAGGCCCTTTGCTTTTTTTGATATATGTTAATGACCTATGCAAATATATGGCTCGTGTTAGTTCTATTACACTATTTGCAGACGACACGTGCTTTTCTGTGAGCCACAAGTGCCTGGCAACTGGTAAACGTAACAGCCTAGTAGCTGAAGCTATGGCTAGTCGGTGGTTTAATGCTAATCGGCTATGTTTAAACTCAGGTAAAACAGTTGAAATGATATTCTCCCTATGTAAACCTTCTTTATGGCACACCCAACCAACCACTAAATTTTTAGGCTTAAATATTGATAGCCAATTAACCTGGAACGCACATGGTGACGCAATTGCAAAAAAAAATCAATTCCGGCACATTTTTGATACGGCAGTTGTCGAATAAATTACCAAAGCACATTCTCAGAGTTGCCTACTTAACACTAGTACAACCCCACATCACATACGGAATTCTAGTTTGGGGACATTCTACTATATCTACCAGAATCTTCAAACTGCAAAGGAGAGTGATTAGACTAGTTGCAGGGATTGGTCGCAGGGAGAAATGTAGTGGTTATTTTGTCTCACTCAATATACTTACCCTTCCTTCTCTATACATACTTGAATGTTTGTTGTATATTAAAAGAAATCTAATTTCATTTAATACACACCAATCTGTGCATAACCACTATACACGTAATAGAGATGATATATGCTTAAACCCCATCAGACTAAACAGAACGCTATCCGGATGTAACTATTATTGTATAAAATTTTTTAATATAATTCCTCATCATATACGGACATTACAATATAGGAAATTTAAGTTAGTATTGAAAACGTATCTTATTAGTAAATGTTTTTATAATTTAGGCGAATTCATTGAAAATGACTTTGGGGATTTATAGAAGTTACTTTGTCTGTTATATATTAATTTATAATGTTTGTGCTTTCATGTTAAGTGTATTAAAATTGAAATTGTAACTGTTTTATATATACTATATATCTGACTACTGACAAGTGTAAAGGTTATGCCTACTAACACAATAAAGATTATTATTATTATTATAAACAATCCAATACTCTTAATACAAATGAGACCTATTTAATTTAAACATCAGAAACGCGGAAAAGGTTTTTTTTGTTTCTTTTATTCGCCCGAAACGAATGTCGAACTCGCGAGTACACAAATAAAAATTGTTAAGTACTTATCTCTTTTTACGTCGCCCTCAATGTAAGCTCGTCGTCGCCTGCCTGGGTTGACTCCTAGTGCGGCTCAGACTCCTTGAATTTCGTCGATGTCGGTGACCTCCAAATATCGATTCCCCCTCGATCTTCTTCCGGTGAAAACAAACGCCGGCAAATAAACAAATCGCTGGCCCAAAACGGTAAAAACAAATCGCTGGCAAAAGGTGAAAATGGTTTCCCAACAGAGAGTTACAAACTTCGTTCACGTGGAAAGTTTTCTCGCTCTGGATGGCGTTGAACTCGCATATGATTGCGTCACTATTGCACAATATTTATTATCAGTTATTCGCGTGTAAAGGTAACGAATTTTATACTACAAAACGTAGAGCACTTTCACTGTCTCCCTACGTAAAAATCTTCACGCTAAAGATATTCTCTAGGACAAAAATGTTTAATTCAGTTTTACTACAACCGCCTTGACTTTTCTTAAGCGGCCATCGCTCTCTTCTCTTATACCAACTTACTCACTAATGGCCATATGCACCGTTTTTTACCTAAGCTGAGCTTGTGTAAGCTCGCTTAAATCCTTAAGCCTTACTTGGATGTGATTTGTATGCACCACAGAAAATTAATCTAAGCTTCGTTAAGCGTTAAATATATTTGACAACATTGCGTATTTGTGCTTTTTAACCTCACTATTTTTCACATGTTTACAAGTTATACGACCTTTTGTATTTTTAACGTGTGTGCAAAGTATAATTTTACGAGTTCGCTAATTATTAACAAATCATGAGCAAAGAAAAAATTAGGGTGGCAAACTTTTCTAGTGCAGAGAAACTGCTTCTGTTAACGATAATTTCAGAAAAATATAGTAAAATACTAGAAGACAAAAAAACTGACCGCATGTCTGTCTCTCAAAAAGAGCAGGCATGGTCACAAATCGAAATAGACTTTAATGCTTCGTCTACTACAACGTTCCGAAACGCATCCTGTCTAAAGAAGTGTTACGAAAACAGGAAGAAAGAACTGCGTAAAACTGTAGCCAATCATAAACGAGACGTCTTATTAACTGGTGGTGGGCCACCACCTAAGAAAAAGAAAGACGATGACGAAACATTGATTGATGATATACTGACATCAATCATGAATGAAAAGACTTTGGTAGGACTACAAAACCCATTTGATGACGATGTTGATGAAAACGCAATCCCACAACGTAATACTCAACAATTCGATACAGATACTGAGTTTGTGTTGGAGGTTGGCAGTGAATATTATGCTGATAACAACACTTCACAAATTCAGGTACGTTTTTACGATGATGGTTGTCATATCTAATCATTGTGTCTACCCTCAAAGTAAAGTACATTACTTACTTGCATTATATTTTAGACTGCACAGGGCGTCATGCCAGCATCCAACGTTATGAATTGGAAAAGGAGTACTCCAAATCAATTAAAACAACCAATAAGTGCAACACTTTGTGCCATTGCAAAAGATGAACAAATGGCACCACAACTAGACATCACCACACCTAATAGCTCTAAAGTAAGTTTTTAGAAAAGAAGAATTCATTTTAATCAAGCATTCATTTTGTGTAGGCGCGAACACCAAAACAGTGTAGCAGAAGAAGACCAACAATCGTCGTGAAAACGCTAACATCGTCTGACATTGCTAAGAAATACAATATATTACTTGATAAACGAATTTCTTTATTGGATGCACAACATAAACATATGGAAAAAGAAAATGAATTAATTCTCAAAAAGCATCAACTAGAAATTGCTTTGTTAACTAGGAAATTGAAAAGAGATGAAGAGCTTGACACTGAAAATTAGTAATTATCTGTTTTATACTTATAGTAATATAGGTAACAATAATATTATAAACTGGTACATACGTAAATGTGTTAAGTAACAAATACATATTTTATAAATGTGCAAAATAATTATTAACAATGTGTGTTCTGAAATCGTAATTAATATGTTGGGGTCCCTGTATAGCTTCAATCTGACCCTGCTGAATTAGATACTCCAGTTCCTCCGCATTTATGTCATTCGGAGGTGGTGGCATGTCTTCATGCATATTAATCGCGATGTTATGCAGAACTGCTGTTGCTACAATGACAGTTAAAGCGGTATCAATATGGCACCGAAGTCCGTAACACAGTGCTAGAAAACGTCTTTTCCATACACCATTTGTTCTTTCGATGCAATTCCGTGTGCGAATGTGCGACTCATTATATAATTGCTGTGCTGGTGTTGTTGGATTCAGAAGCGGTGTTAATAAGTATGCTTTAAGTGCATATCCACTGTCACCTTAAAACATTTTGACATAGTACAATGCACTTAACCTACAGTAGGTAGTGAAATTGAAATAAACGGTTACTTACCAAGAAGAATAGCAGTACCGAACTCCCCTGCCTCACACCTTGTCCTCAAACGACTGTTATTAAATATTGTTGCATCATGTGCCGAACCTGGCCATCTGGCAACAACATTTATGATTTTTAGGGTACTGTCACACACTAATTGTACATTTATAGAAAAATAGGATTTTCTATTTCTGTACACTTCTCCATCTTCGCCACCTATACATTGAGATGTTTAGTTTTTTTAAACTATATGCACTTACTTACCTTACCCTTACAACTATTTCGTCTTCGACTTCCATAACACCATAACAAACAATAAGGAGAAAAATATGAGATTTGAGGTTATGCCTTCCAAAGCGTAGCTTAAACGAATTAAACCGCCAATGATGGAGGCTTAAGGTTAAGCGAGCTTAGAGAGCATTTTTACACCGGTGCATAACAAATTAGTGATATAAGCGCGATTAAACATTAAGCTGGGCTTTTTATAGTACGGTGCATATGGCCATAAATGACTAAACTCCCCAGAACTTAATGTACAGTATGTTCCCCAACTTAATTTACTAACAAATATTTATAGACAGTATGAACAAAATGAACCAGCAGAAATGTCTGTGCTGTTAAGTCATTAATTAACATTATAAATAACAATGGTCCCAAGTTTGACCCTTGTGGCCCCCCCGATGGTACACTGAACACCTTAGACGTAGCCGATCCAAAAACCACAAACTGCTCTCGAGAAGAAAGATAAGACGAAAAGAATTTTAATAGACCATTCGAGAACCCAAACCGAGCTAACTTTTCGAGCAAAATGTCATGGTTCACACTATCAAAGGCTTTAGAAAAATCAGTGTATAATGTATCGTATTGAGTTTTGTCATCTAAGGCCTTTGAAGCATTATGTGTGAATTCGATTAAATTTGATTCAGTGGACTTGTTTTTTTGGAAGCCGTGTTGTCGCTCGGAAATGCTCCCCTTCACATGATTATATATACGTCGGTGTAATATTTTTTCAAAAATTTTTGCCGGACCAGATAGGATTGCGATTGGTCGATAGTTAATAATGTGTACTTTATCCCGTTTTATGAATTGGACACACCTTTGTGATTTTCCATATATCGAGAAATTTATTCGACCTTATGCACAGATTATAAATTAACGTTAATGGAGGTACAAGTACGTCCTGGCAACCCTTAAAAAGGTATAGCGGAATTCCATCCGGTCCAGCAGCCTTCTTCGGTTTGAGCTCTTTAATGGCCTCTCTGACTTCATCCTCTGAAATCGTGTTAATATCCAAAATGTCACATATGGAAAGCTGTTGCCGATATATGTCAGTATTATATGAAGAAGGGGCTCGTTTGTACAAACTCGAGAAATATGTTGCAAACGAATTTGATATACTTATGGGTCCCGAATAACGGACATCCTCAAATTCCATTTCGTTAATACTTTCGTTGGTTGATCGCCTATTTTTGACAAAAGTCCAAAAGGCGTTCAAATTTGAATTTATATTTAATTCTGTGTTTGCAACGTACCTCTCGAATGCCCTACTAATTTCCCCCTTTACCTTCTTCCTTAGTGCCTTGAATTGAGTTTCATGAAAGTGTCTGTTGCCGTTATGAAGTTTCATTTTCTTAAAGTGATAATGTTTAATTCTTATATCTTCAATAATTTGTTTCGTAAACCAACAAGGAAAGTATCGGCGTTAAAAGCCATAAAGTGATAGGATACCAAAATTAATTTTTTATAGGACGCAGATCTGGAACTCAAGCTTTTTATACAGCGAAAATCTGAAGCCGATACGATGTTTTCTTCCCAAGAAAATCCGTACATAAATTTATTTATTTATTGTCCCTCTTGTTCTAGGCCCTCAACAGACTTACGCCCAATTACAGAGTGACCCGCATAATGCTCTTTAGAGGTGCCCCTGCAGAAGGTCTTAAGTTGTTCTACACTACTCCGGTATTTACCTTACGAATTAGGAAAACTGCAGGAAAACCTAATTCGGAGTAGCCGGCAGAATGCTCGAAACTGATCTAAGGAAATTCCCATCTCTGCCACACATTAAAAATTCACCTCAAACCAGGTTCGAACACCCGACTTCCGGATTTATACCCCAACGCTCTACCACTGAGCTATAATGCCGATTTTGGTATTTTTTGCCCAAAAAAATGTCACCAAAAATACGCATGGATCACTTCTTGAGCATTGAGCAATCGAGTCTTCCAAAAAAATTGATGAATAAATAACGATTGACATCCTTTAGGTAAAAATATTGACATATTGAAAATATCAAAGCGAATGTCTTATAATTTGATCGGCATCGGTTCTAATGGTCTGGCGACTAGGAGTTTTTACTTAGTCAAAAATGAAATTGTTACTAGAGAGTTTATTGTCATTTATAGCTCCAAATTAGTTGGAATCGACACCGTTTGTTCCCCGTAGTAAACATACGCTACTAGTAGTAACCCTAACAACATATTAAACAAGATACGAAGAATCGCATACGATTTTCAGTAGGGGAATTTTTTCTAATCAGCTCGTATTCGGAAACCAGACTTTTGATCCGGCTGATATTCAATAGCACTGATCCTTGAACTCGTAAAAATCGATTGGCGAAGTTTTGGCATCGCTACCTTTTTTCGTTCTAGAGTTAGAAGGACAAATCCATCACATAAGGGGAATTTTTTTTTCTTTCAAAAAATTCCTCTAAAAATTCACAGATTTCGCAATCCATGCAACCATCGAAGACATTGGAAGTGACAACCGTAAAACGCCATATTATGTAAAATAAATAACTATTCTTCACTCACCAATAATTAGCGTCATAACATGCTGGTAATACTATCAAAGAAGATGTGTGAGAATTTTCGTACCGTATCGACAGTATCCGCGACTTTTCCTTAACCTACCGATCATGGGACGAGTACGGTACAATCGTCACTTGATGCGACACCGTTGTCTATTAGCCTTGAACGAAACTCATACCTTTGTGGCCATATACGAAAACATAAACATCAGATCTAGCCGTTTGTTTGCGGTTTTAATATTAGATATGACTCGCCTACTATAATATAATATAACATAGTCAAAGATTAAACTTTTTTGGTGTTTATCGTCAGTGGCGGAACTACCGGTGTTCAATGTGTGCGAAGTACACGGGCCCGGGCTAAAAAGGGGTCCGGGACCCGGGATTGTCATACCTACTCGGAAATAATACACTGTTCACGGAAACACGGAACACGGTAAATGAAACCTTTTGCAGCATACCTTTAGCACGGTGTGAAACCAACTGCAGACTACAGCCAGCGATTGAGTAATTTTTTAAATTGTACTGAAAATGAAATGTCAATGAAAATGTACTAAATTTAATTGTTTTGTACTAAAATACGCAGCATAACTTCAAGGGCACAAAAAAATTAGCTACAAATTGTCATGAATCATGAGATAACACTATAACCGAACGAATGACTATCTGAATAGTGAAAGTTAACTGTGAAAATAACATTCAATTTTCTAAATCGTGGGGAAATGATAAGCGTAAACGCTTATAATCCGCACTCTGACTCTAATATTTTTCCTCGTATTGTTCTATGTTCAGGTTCAGGAACATAAATACTTATCAATTGGTTTTTTTTGTAGGCAAAATTCATACCTAAATTAATATTGTTATCAATACTTCGTATCATAATGGAGGCCCAGCAAAAAATTTCGCACACAGGCCCGTGGCTACGTTGTTCCGCCACTGTTTATCGTGATCAGGAGAATCCAAACTAGTCAAAATCAATTAACTCAACACCCTATACGACCTTTCAGTACTAAACAATAAAATTTCATCCCAGGCTTCAATATTCACTCTCAAAAATCGTAGTCTCAGATAATTTCCATTCTTAGCGAAGAGGCTCTTTCGGTATTATAAGCACTCGAACTTATTTTCTGTATGTTCTCTGTTTCTTTGATTTTTCCTTAAATATTTTGTACACATTGTACTATTACCACTGGCACGTCAGTAAGGAAGGTATTGCGTTGGAGCGCCAGGAATCCGAATCAAACAAAATCTCGATGATGTCGGTCTGCCAATCTGTCTGTCTGTAGGTACTCTCATTTCTGGCTAAACGGCTGAACCGATTGTTGGAACCAAATTCGAAACACGCATATTGTTAGACATAAAAGGCAGATCTGAAAAGCTTTTAGGTAGAATCGCAGTAGCGCAACCAGAAATACACCCCCCCTCCCACTTTGCGTCCGCCACTGGGGTGGTATGAGTGCTGGCCACAGCAATTTTTTTATTTTATACAGGGTGCAGATATGGTTTATGTATGTCAATGTAAATTTTTTATTTTCCAGGAATTATAATAATCAAAAAACAGTATATTAAAGGAAAAACTACATAAACATTGTTGTTAAGATTAGTTATTATGTTCATAAATAAATATTTTTGTTTTAAAGACTAAATTTGTATCTAATTGTATGTACTAATGTACTTAATTTATTTATTTATTTATTTATTTATTTATTTATTTATTTATTTATTTATTTATTTATTATTTATTTATTTATTTATTTATTTAATACATACCACCTGGCGAGGTTTAAATATTTATGTGTAAAAAAAACCCCCCCCCCCCCCCCATTAATCATCTACGACCAATAAAAAAATGCGCTTTATCTCCACAAGAGTGTGCACAATTTAAACATCACCCGTTGTCTGTTGTGCTGATATAGACGGGTCCAGAATAGGAGGACGGTCAGTCACATATGCCGTCAAACATTCATCCTTCGCCAAAGACTTCGGAGTGCACTGGTACTATGCCACTTTCTCTAAAACCACTAGTTACTTGGGGGTGACAGACGACGCCCCTGGAATAAGCGTGATCAGAAAACTGAGCTACTTCATAAATGATAACTGATTTTCCAGCGTTTCCTGGGGAGGGGACGTACCTAATCCATTCCTCCATTGCTTGACTGTAGCAAGTCTTAAATGGTCCGGATGCAGCTCTATCAAGAGACAATAATTGTCACTGAAAAGTAATTTTTACAAAACGTTACTCGTTATTTTTAAATATTTGAAGATAATTTTACTATAGTGAAATCGATAGAACAAATATCAGGACATTTCAAAAAAAAATTATTAAAACATTTAGCGAACGTTACTGTATCTAATGTTGTCCTCGTCTAGTGTATTAAAAGTGTTCCATCAAAGGAATTAAAATATAAAATATAATGACATTCATCATCTAATGGTTATGAAATTCAAAACTTGCATTTTTGTAACCATAAGAGAAATATTTCAAAACATTTTTCGGTGGAATTTTCGAATTTTGGTCAATTTGGAATAAATCTACAGAAATGAAACATTGAAAATTGTTATACTTTAGATCAATGGCAAGATTTTTTGCATTGATTTTAATGAGACGTATTTTAATAAATTTTCAGAAACCATAGAACTATGACTATCATCAGCTGCACATAAGCATCGAACTAAAGTGTAGGTATATTGTATAGTCTATAATAGTGTATGGTTATGGTCTATTGACCACACCGGTCTATTAGCATTGAATAAAAGTGTTTTTATTCAATGGCACCTACCTATTAGATTTACTTAGGTAGTCCATTCATTACACTATGTGAAAAAAGAAATTCATTTTCCTCCATATCAAGATTTTCATTTGAACTGCCTGTTCCCATTTGGTGGTAGGTCCAAGTAAACTGGGCAGTGGGCACCTTTGATCATTAACGAGTGACAAAAAGCGAGTTTATGATTTTGGACTTTTTGTCCGTCCGTTCGTCCTTTCCAATTCTGGTTTTAGCAATAGGTAGACAATAATCAAGGGGAATTGATTAAATGTTCAATATTCGTTAATTGCAAGTGACTTTGTCGCTCGTTGTCTATATTTTTGCAGTTTATGCTATATTCAAACCTGGGAACTGTGGCTGGACACAATAAATTTTAGATTCCTATTGACATAAACGAACCCTAAAGTTTTATGTTATATTTGAAAGCTCCTAAACAACTCGTAATTTTGATTCAATTTTTGATTTGATTCGGGGTAGCGAGAGCGCTAGTTCATTGAGAATTGGTATACCTATCTATGCGAGATTAACTGTGGCCAATGATTATTACACACTATATAGTGTCATTGAATAAAAACACTATAAGAAGCCTAACGCTTATGGAAGAAAGCGCGACAAATCTCACAAATCCCCTTGCACCCGCATTGGTTGTGACCCCGAACTCTCTTTGCGGTAAATAGGAGGAAAGCAAATTCTCATTCTTCTCAGTTCAAGAATCGACTCTATTGACAGTGTTCCCATTATATTCTCAGTGATAGTGTTTTTATTCAATGGTATAATCAATGCTGTGGCATTTATAGAAGGCAAACGAGGAACTTTATTTTGAATTGGTAGGATTTGGTGTTTGTAGTGGCATCTAGGGTTATAAGAATTAATTGTTGTAACTTTCTTATTGGTAGAAAGTGTTTGCGAAAGTGGGCCATTAACTTAGCTAATCCACTTAGTCGGCAGATAGCAGCACATTCTCTAACGAAATTTGAAATTTTTTTAATGTTCTTGTAATTATTGAAAATGTAAAATTCCCAGCAATAACTTGTATTAAGTAAATTTACAGACTACAATCACAGGTTCATTACCGAATTACTTAATCCCGGAATCCGTAATGCCGTGTAATTAAATTTACTCTGTAAGTGTAATTTGGCATTTGGCAACACTGTGTGTAACGTTCGTCGAATGTCGATAAAGTAATTTCCTTATTAAAGTACCATGGCGGTGAGTGTCTCAAGAATTGAATTTTTTCAGAATCTATAATCATCCATTTACCTATTTATTAAATTTCAAAATGAAACAATTCCCCACAATTCCTAGCCCATCTAATTTCAAAATTTTCTTCACTTTTCTTTTGGTTTGAAAGTATTTACGAATTTTAATGGTTATGTTGTATCTTTCGAATACATTTTTGCTTGTTGTTTTTAGCCCGCCGTAGATTCTAAGGACAAGACCAAGATGAAGAAAGACGTTAGGGATAAATCGAAAAATATAATGCGAGACTTGCACATTCGCAAGTTGTGCTTGAACATTTGTGTTGGTGAATCTGGTGACAGGCTTACACGCGCCGCTAAGGTGAGTCGAATCCCCAATGAGGCTGTGATTTACATTGCGCTTGCAGGTTTTAGAGCAATTGACCGGCCAACAGCCCGTGTTTTCGAAGGCTCGCTACACTGTGAGATCGTTCGGCATTCGACGTAACGAAAAGATTGCGGTGCACTGTACAGTACGTGGGGCTAAAGCCGAAGAGATTTTAGAACGAGGATTGAAAGTACGCGAATACGAGTTGAGAAGAGATAACTTTTCAGGTACGTCGATCTTTCCTTGGGACAAGAACTGATCTAGTTCATTTTAGCATCCGGCAATTTCGGTTTCGGTATTCAAGAACACATAGACTTGGGTATTAAGTATGACCCAAGCATTGGTATTTACGGTTTAGACTTTTACGTCGTATTGGGAAGGCCTGGTTACAATGTCGCACATCGTCGCCGAAAGCGCGGCATCGTCGGCTTTCCACATCGTCTAACAAAGGAAGACGCGATGAAATGGTTCCAACAGAAATACGATGGTATCATTCTCGCCAGTAAGAAGTAGTTTGTAAACGTTACGTTTATACAATAAAACAATTTATAATAAGATTTCTTTTAATTTAACAACACAGATCGTATAACAGGGAATAGCTTAAATTAATCTAACGTTCTTTTAGTATTGCACACCACCGACCATTCCGTTTATATAAAAAAGATCTAACATCAAAATAGAACGTAAACATAGTTTCTTTTCCGCGTACCCTTTGCGTGCACCTAAAAAAATATATACCTACTATGTGCAAATTAGCATGCGTGACTATCACGAAAGCGCCATAATTATCACCAATTAATAAATTACTACGTCATTCTAGCTTTGTCTATTGTACTAATCTCACTCGGCGTAAAACCTAAAATACTCTGAATCGCTCGCAGATGCCCTTGATTGTTCTCTTTATCAGTTAAAAAATAATAGATTGCCGACTTGAGGAATTGAAGGGTGATTTCGGGATCGATCTTGTTCTTATTTCTCGCCTCGAGTAGCTGCCGGTACATCGCCTGCAAGAGAAATTCTTGGTTTAGTTGATGGAAGTGCTCTCCAAGGTAGTGAATGTGTAAAGTGGAGAGGAAAGAAAAACATGCACAAATGAGGCTGCTACAGCATGCAAATTAGCTAGTGAGGATAAGCATAAAGTCGGCTACGAACATTTTTAGCAATTAATTTATCGCCGGCAAATTTCAAATGAGCGCGCCCAATTTTAAATTGTTGGTGACAATAGTTACCAGCAGATGCCGCATCACGTGATGATAAAGTTCTGATATACAGCATGTCACAGAAATTTTGCTCGAACCAAGTCAAGTTTAATTTTCTAAACCGAAAGGTTTTACTTTTTCGTATCAAAGCAAATGTGAATGCTTATTTCAAAATCGACGTAACCAGGCGAAATAGTTTAAATTTATGTTCTGTATAGGCACAATATTCGCTTAGCCAAGCCCATACAATACATGAAAGGCGAGATCAAGGGTAACGCCGCGAAAATTGGACGGCTCGAAAATGAATCTGGTCCTGAATTCAATGTAAGTACCAAAACTTGCTTCCTTTGTACCTTTGCCGTTTTCGGAGAATCCCGTTCGGGAAAATCCGAAATTTTGAATAAATCGCTAAGCTATTAATGCAGATTTTCCAAATTCCCAAAACACTGTACCCTTGGCGTTTTTTGAAAAATCCGCTACCGAAGGATCACGATGACTTACGAAAGAATCGAAAAGATTTCGTATTAATCCCTAAACTAAATAGCCCCATTCCCACAATTACCAACATGAAAGACGGGCCTGCATCTTCTTCTAGAATGTGACGCCAACTGCGCCATTGACTCCACTGAGGCAGCGCGGACACAAATCAGAGAAGTGCGTGTCTTTCAGATTTAGAGATGCTGAATCTGGGCAATGATCCAACCTTTGTAACCAGGAACAGAAAAACAGTTCTGGATATTACCTGATATTACCTTTGCCTTCTTCTTTTTAGCAGGCAAAATATAGTGGGATAGAGGGTCGCTAACGAGCCCCCCCCCCCCGGACCACAGAAAAATCTGAAATAGGTAGTATACAGGTAGAGAAACAAAGAACGTTCATACTGAGATCCTCGTAAAACAGATGGCGCACTGTAGGAGGAGTTTTGAAAAGCAACATTGCAGGACTCTGCAGGAGGTGACTTAGAACGACTTGCCACACTGCTCCTCCTTTGGAGGAGAGCTGTCCGCCGGATCGGATTAAAACACATACAAACACTCCCTGGTGGAATAATTATGGTCTGGGAAAGCCACCAGAAGTCTTTAACAAAGCCAAGCGCACTGGGTGCTGGGATGAATATAGAACGCCCCTCACTGAGTATAGTAAGGCGATTCGGAGCATTGTAGCAGTGTCATGCCGCGAACGCTGGACGTCGCAACGAAATTCCACCTTAAAATATAGGGCGCCGTCACATCAGTTTCTCTATCATAAAAATTGGTTCCTCTTGGGTCAAGTCGGTGTGGTTCTTCGTCTGTCCGTCAGTGTGCACGATAACACTCGAACAGTAGGTTTTACGATCTTCAAACAGGTTCTGCTTGGTCCAAGTAAAAACCAAAGATTTTCATCTCGTTTTTAAAGAGTTATCTGCTAGGTCCGTAGTTCTTTGATAAAGAAATCATATGAAATACATTTCTTTCATTTTAGAAATCAGGAGCTACACACTGAATTCTATTCAATGGCGAAATCTACTATGCAAAGCGTTTCATCGTTCTGCTTATAAGCGCATTAGTTGCTTTTGTAACCATAACGTGAAATGCTAATGAATGATTAACATTTCTTTCCTAATACATTTTATACTTGAAGGCATTCGGAAATCGTATTTTGAAACTTTCTTTACTTATGTAAGTATAAAGCGTTAGTGTTTGCTGAAGATGTTCGTCTCCTAACTTTATGAATGTAATGAGAATAAATGTGTCTACAAAATAAAAATTTTGTACCAGAGGTATCGGTTTCTTTTTACCTTTCTAGCACCGAGTACCCATAAGGAGACAGCCTCTTTTGCACTTAACAGAGGTTGTGAACTGTTAGATGATGATGCGTATTCTATATCCTAAAATGGTTAGTCTGTGAGTTATCATCGTCGCTCGCAAATACTTGGGTGACGGATATTACTTTCAGCATAACTTCCGATGGACGCATTATCTCAATTCCTACACTAAATAATATTCATAAACCCAGTTAGAGTTAGTAAAGTACCTACCTACGTTGGGTAACGTTCAGAGGCCGAGTCTCACACATTGTTCATTTGGATATTAGATTAATTAGATAGAATCTGAAGAATTTTAAAAGTTGGAAAGAAATTTCAAAAAATGAAGAATTTAAGTCGAATTGTGTAAAGAAAACTCCGAAGCATATGGAGAACCTGTAGCGAAGAATTAAAAAAATTTGACGAAACGGAAGAATACAAAATATCTACTTATGGATTTGACGAATGTCCGCAGAATGGGATGTAATTGAATAATCTAAAGACAATAAAGAATCTGAAGAATGTAACGAAACAAGGTAAACGGAAAAATTGTGAAGCATGAGAGGACATAATAGGGCACAATAGTTTTGGAGTTACAAGTGTATAATCAAAAAATTGGCCCATATCCAAGCGTAGGGGTGAAAAAATCTAACTCCAGTCTAAGTCCAATGTGTTGACTACATGTATTTTTAGCAGTCACATAGATTTTTGAACCTCATGGCTGTATATTAAAAAAAAATGTAAAACTGTGGTAAAATAATGCAATGATACTTTTTATTAGGCGCTTTCTTTCGGTGATCCAAACGCGTTTGAATTGTCAAATCACGTTCTTTCGAAGTGTGATCTTATAATCATGATTGCTAAAATCGTGAACAAACTGAACATAAAATTTTTTTGACACGAATTCCTAACCTATAAATGCAAGGGTATTTTTGCTCAAATGTTAGATTAGTCAATATTTGTAACTGAAGCGGAGCATAATCGTGCAAGTACTTCCACTTGTATTTAAATTATTTTCATAATCCAAACAAAAAATACATAATTCGAATGCAAATGTGCACTACGTAAACTTAACCATACTTTGATTAAATTCGTGCGTTCTTTCGTAAAACGTGATCCTACTAATCACGATCTAGAAATCATGATTGCGAAGTAGCCGAAAGAAAGCGCCTATTATGCGCAAATGATAATTTGGAACACCGCCTGTTTTTCCCGCTGAACGCAACCCAACAAATTATCATCGAAATCCTAACCTTAAAAATTTAGTTGAAGTTTTCCTAACCCAATTTTGGCATCAACTTGTGTATTGTTTAATATTTTCAATTATCGGTAGTTATACTGAAAGCAGTATAGGCAAGTACATACTTTAACTTTCTCCAATTCATTCTGCGTCTCCTCCAATTGATGTAATAGTTCCGGAACGGAAACTCGAGTATTACCTTCAGCTGTCATTGAAATCTGAATGCAACACAAGATAAGAAACTTCAACATTATGTAGGCATTTACCTGTCGAACGTGTTCAAATTTGGCCGCCTCTTGCCCTTTATTGTACATTTGCAAATAGCTCTCCTTGTGTTTCTTCTCTTCTTCCTCTAATTTTTTACAGGCATCCTCCAGTTGCTGCTCTAATTCCTTAATGTGCTGCTTAGCTGAATCTAAATCGGGCACCAACTCCCAATACCTACAAGTATCTTTACAATTGACTTCACTTTCATATACTCAGTACCTTGCATTCACGTCACTTAACCTCTGCAACAACTCATCCACCTTGTCATTGTGCTTCCGTTTCATTTGGTGGCACTCCTCTTCGTGGTTACGCACGAGCTCTTGCAGTCGACGTTCATACTCTACAACTAATCTTTGGTGTTCGGACTGGACGTCCCTCGGACCTAAATCTACGGATATTCCTACGTCGGCAGTTGTCTTTACTTTGTAAGGCTGAAATTCGCGAATTAATCACGCGAAGCTGGTATTCGACCTACCGAAACGTGTTCATCTATCACTGACTCTTTGGAATGGACAGAGGAGTTGCACAAGTCCTCGTAATGGCCGGAATCTGCACAGGAACTACCTTTCTCGATGACCGCATGGAGTCGACTGCCGTCAGTCTCGATCTCTCGGACTGTGACACCGTCGCTGGAGGAGTTTGATTTGTCTTCGGGGGAATGCAAAGCTGCCTTATATAAACGTAACTCGACGACTTCCTTCGTTAGCTTTAGTATGTCGGTGTCTTTTAGATCGAGATCCTTTTGTGTCTGATGAAGGAGTTGTTTGAGACGTTTGATTTGTCGATGGGCTCTCTGAGTGGGTGTTAGGTAATCACCGCCGGTCGCACCCGAGTGCTCGGAGCAGTGCACCACATACCTAAACGTTTCAAGTTAGATCTGTGTGTGATAATCGCATTGTGATTACTTTTTGCTTCGGCCAGAGTATGTTGTGCCATTATGAGCGACACTGGCATGGTCACAGGAGGCCACACTTAGACAGCTGATCGAGCTGGTGAGACTGTCTAAATCCCAGTCTCGGCAGAATCGGTTGTGGTCGTTTGGTGATGACGGGGGTGTCTTTGGTAAGAATGGAACTGAAGGTTGTGAAGACTTTGGTGAAGTTACTCGTGCGTTCGATATTGAAAGTGACTGCAAAAAATCGCGTTGGCGTGATTTAAGGGGTGATTAACCATGTAGGGGTTGTAAATCAATAATGAAATGAGGGCGCAGAATTTATGCGTGCATAGACGCGCGTTTAAATATCCAACTTACCAAGCTTCTCATGCGGGTTGGTGTATGGGGAGCGACCCCGGTGGCCCTATTTAGGGCCACCGAATTGCGCGGCTCCGTTTTGATGCTTTGTGGCCTTGGTGCCACTCCAGAAGGGCGCAAACCATGTGAACTGCGATTTTTTTCGCCGCTTTCCATAAAAGAGTGACCTCTCTGCAGCGCTTTCGGAACGGTTTTACTAACGCTTTCGCCACCTAGACGGACGCGCGTCCGTGGAGTGCCACATTGCGACGGCGACGAAATAGGGATCTTCGACTGAAGTGGTGTAGATTGCGTTTTCGCCTGCTGATGGTGTTGACAGACGTCACCGCTCATTTCAAATTGTACCCTAAAAATTGAATATTGCGAGTTTATTGCACTTTGATTCACATAATTCACGCTTCGTCGAGCATACTACTGGGAAGGAAAATTCCTTCTGGTCATCGAGAACGACTGTTATTTTCAGTTCATGGCCCGCGACAAAAACTTGTTGACGATTGCATAACGATAAATGAGGAAGCACTCTAATTACTTCAAATATCAAGGTCTCGCGCACTAAGTTACCGTATCGTCCTTATCAGTCTGCGCTTTAATCTGGGTCAACTTTTCCGTTAATTACATGCTTAACAAAACCTTAATTAAGTGAGCCACGTACAAAAAAACAATGGGTACTTTACCTTATCCATATTGCAAAGCGCCTTTGCACTTTCACTTTTAATTGGGCACTGAATGTGCTAGGTAGCTAAGTAGCGTTCCTAGATCTGCGCCCCGTTACTCGTTTCTATTATGAAAATGCCGGAACCGCACTGTAATTATTAATGAAGGTTGTTACTGGTATGATTGTTGACCGTAAAAATTGAAAACCTAATATTTACTGCGTGTAACACTGTGTGTTGCCTAACACACCGACCTATCTCGTTCCTTATCAATATCAGCGATTTAAATGTCGCGCTATTATTGGTCGTTGATACCGTAATCAACCAGTCGCCTACAGTTAGTGTCAAGGGCGAAAAAGTGTATTTCAAATTTTTTATCATTTTGTTTTCATATTAAAACAAACCGTTTAAAATGACACTTGGCGCGCTTAACACAAGTGCTGCCACCCGTAATTGAATCTGTGACAATTAGATTCGAGTAGAATTATGAAACGCGCGTAGTACGTTTGAATTCAAATACGACAAAATTTCATAGACATAAATACTCATATGTCTATGCAAAATTTCGATCGGGCATAGAGGAAATACAATCCTCTATGGATCGGGGTAATTGCCTGTCGACGTTGAATACCAACACGCATCATAGACTAGCAGATTATTTATTTGTTTCGTGAAATGTTTGTTCTGTTTGCGTAGTTGTAATTCACACACAGGATGTGTAATGGCGAATGACTCTCGAAAAGGTGAGGGAGAGCTGAGAATATTTTAAAAATTGCAACATTTTGATTTTCTTATGTAAAAATTTGTGTCATAGCTTCCAATTTCTATTGGTGCATTTTTAAAAGCAACTGGAATGCACATGCAATGACGGTAAGATTTTGAAGTGTTATTTTATGGTGATTAACCGCATATGGTGTAATTCTCGAAGTAATTTTGGGTTAGAGTCTACACACTTATCTCGCATTCTGGAGGATTTCATTGAATTTGAGGAATAAGTAAGTTTTCTTTAATCATCTGTTACCGTTCTACGTTCCAGAATTTTGCCATTGGAAGATTGAAATCGGAAATTAGGTTACAGTTGGTGTTTTTTAAGGAATTTGACATGTGATTTCTTCACAGGGTTTCAGTTCAATACTAATTTCAAGATATACAATTGTGCCGTTTAGCTCCAGTTTTAATTATCATTGGTACCTGTCCATTGAACTTGGACCGGTCCCGAAGGGATGCAGACGTGTGTACAATAACAGCACCTTATCTGAAGCATCGTGTAATTTTTATGTCAAGCAAGAAAGACTTTCGCAGCCCAAATCATAATTCCCATTTTTTTCTATATAAGAGCTTTATTTAATTGAGGCTAATTTCCTTTTAGAAGCGGACTGTGTTGATATTTTGATTATAAATGAATACAGGGTGTTCAAAAACATTAAGGCTTGGAATTGAACAAAATCGTTAAAACCAAGGTTTTTTTTTAATTGAAACCCCTCTAGTTCTGCAAGACAAGGGTAACTTTATAAAAAGTAGGTAATCTATTCCAAAAGTCTTTCACCATAAATAATAAACAGAATTTTATGATCTTTGTGTGTATAATTTACTCACCCTTGCACGATTATGTATATATATAAAACAAAGTCGCCACATACAAATCGTTACGAGCAGTGCCCCACGACCATGGTGGAGAATTTACTCGCCCTTGCACGATTATGTATATATATAAAACAAAGTCGCCACATACAAATCGTTTAAGAGCAGTGCCCCACGACCATGGTGGAGCTGCCGGGTTGCAACTGCCAAGATCGGAATGGTATCTTTAGTTTATCGAAGACGCGCGGTAATTGAATATGAATGGGGGGGCGCCGACGATCTTTCTTTTGAAGTTTTGCCAGTGGGCACAGGCAATTTGATTGGTGAACATTGACAAAATGATAAAGTAGATCAGAAGGAATAGAAGAGAAGGATGTTTTAAATAGGCGTAGCAGACATAAAACGGGAATTTTTGGTGAAAGACAGTCAGCCTGGGTGGTTGTAAAGTTTCTTGTACAACCAAGAGATTTTAATTGGTATAAAAGTGAATGTTCTTCCATCTCATGATCTGGTTCTGATTTATCTGGTAGATAGTTTGCATGGAAGTTATCAATCAAATATGTTGTGTTTACATTCGGAACTTATGCGATTTTATAATTTAATTAAAAAAAATAGCATGTGTAATAAACAATTTAAAAAATAAACTTCATATAAATAAAACTTGTCTTGTCATACAAATTCCTTTAAACGTTTAATTCCTACAAATACAATAAATTGGTTAGAACGGCGTAGCTGCGGTAAAGTATTCTCTTCATTTGTAGGTACACTGGCCGTTATGTCCAACGTAGGTGTATTTATTTCTGGATCAGGTAAAGTTTCGGGTAAGGTTGTAACATCAGAATGATTGTTAGAGGGGTCATAAGGAATATCATCATTTTGAGGAGAGTCTCGCGGAGTAGCATCCCCAAGGACCCCAACTCTGCGTAACTGATCAACGTGTCTCTTCCAAACATTACCATTATCAAGCTTAACATGATAGTGTAATTTCCCTAACTTTTTATCAACATTTCCAAATTTCCATTTGATATCGTTTGCATAGTTTCTTACAGCAACTCTGTCATTAATTTGGAAATCTCGAACTGGTATATTATTACGAATTGCAGTAGCATTTTTATTTAAATCGGGTTTAATTAAATCCAATCGGGATGTAATTTCACGTCCGAACATTAACATTGAAGGTGATTGTTTGGTAATACTATGAGACATTTTGCGATATTGTAAAAGTAATCTACATAATTCTTTTTCAACATCAGAACTATTACCGTTAATTGCGCGTAATGATTGCTTTAATGTTTGAACATATCGTTCTGCCAACCCATTTGTCGCAGGATGGTATATGGCGCACTTAAACTATGTTTAATTCCGTTTTGTTTAAGAAAACTTTCAAAAGCGTAAGATACAAAATTCCTGCCATTATCACTCACCAGTATACGCGGTATGCCAAAACGACTAAATATTTCACGGCATATTTTTATGGTTGTATTGGCAGTCATATCTTTTGTAACTTCGGGCCATCGTGAATACGCATCAACTAAAATAAAATAATAATGACCATAAAATGGGCCTGCATAGTCGACATGTACACGATGAAATGGTTTATTTACACTTTCCCATGAATGTACTGGTACTAGATGTATGCTTAATTTTATTGCAGTTAGCACAATTCTTTACTAACGTTTCAATATCGTTGTCTATACCAGGCCACCAGCAATAACTACGGGCTAAACCTTTCATTTTGTAAATACCAAAATGTGCAGAGTGTAACTCATCTAAAATTTGTTTTTGTAAAATTTTAGGTATTATTACTCTTTGACCTCGCAAAATACATTCTTGTTGTACGGTGAATTCTTTTTGATCAATATTGAAACGTAGTTTACTATCAATCACTTTACCAATTTTTAATCCCATAAATAATGGTTGTAAATTCTTATCCATTTTAGTTGCTTGCGCTAGTTTACTAATTGTAACAGGTAGTGTCTCTATTTGACTTATTTCAAATATGTCTGATTCTTCAAAATCGTATAATTGTTCAGAATTAATTGGTAATCGAGACATGCAATCTGCATTACCATGTAACTTTGTATTCTTGTATCGAATATCGTATCTAAAAGCCGAAAGAAATATTGCGTAATGTTGCATTCTAGACGCACTTAACACAGGCAATGATTTCTTTGGATTAAAAATTTGTAACAAAGGTCGATGATCAGTATACAGTATAAATTTGTTACCGTACAAGTATTGGTAGAACTTTTTAATACCAAAAATTATACTATACGCCTCACGATCTATTTGTGAATACTTTCGTTGTGTTAATGTTAAAGTTTGTGATGCAAACTGGATTGGTCTTTCTGAACCATCCGGATATACATGTGAAAGAACAGCGCCCACTCCGTATGGTGAAGCATCAGTTGCTAGCACAATTGGTAATTGTAAATCAAAATGAACTAAAAAATTCGCAGATTGAATTTCTTTTTTAACTTGTAAGAATGATTTTTCACATTTCTGATTCCAAATAAACTTGGAATTCAGTTTTAAAAGATCATTTAGTGGTGCTAACATTGTACTCAAGTTTTCAAAAAATCTACCATAGTAATTTATTAAACCTAGAAAAGAACGTAACTGATTTTTGTCAGTAGGTCTTGGTGCTTCTTGTATTGCTTTTACTTTAGCAGGTGTTTTGTGTATACCATTTTTATCAACAATATACCCACAATATTCGATCTGATCTGCTAAAAATGTACTTTTTTGTAAATTAATACGAAGATTGTGATTTTGTAAACGTTTTAGAACTTCTTCTAAACGTTGTAAATATATTAAATTATTCGGTCCAGTAATTTTAATATCATCCAGGAAAACTGATACACCAGGAATCCCTTCTAATAGTTTTTCCATCTGCCGCTGCCAAATAGCAGGTGCAGAAGCAATACCGAACATTAAACGGTTGCATTGATATAGGCCCTTATGGGTATTCAATGTTAGTAAATGCCTATCATCAGGATGCACTTCTAAATGTAAGTAAGCTTGACTTAAGTCTATCTTTGTAAACTTTTCACCACCAGCCATTGATGAAAAAAGCTCATCAATTGTTGGTAATGGATGTTCATCGACTTGTAAATAAGAATTCAATGTAACTTTGAAATCTCCGCATATGCGTATAATTCCTACAAATACAATAAAATAGAACATGAAAGACTGAAGTTAAAGAACTGTAATACTTTTAATTTGCGGAAGCAGCAATACAAAAACTTAAAATTATGAAAGTGATAAATAATCCACTCCGACTGTAAAACTCTCGAACACATCCTCGCATCAGTTATCTGACTTGTTATGTCTTCGTTGCAATGCGGCGGCTAAATCTTGCTTAAGGGCCTGCTGCTGTCGCGTCTCCGTCAGCCCTTGAACTGACCTTAAACTATTTACGATATCTTTAGTCTTACTGAAGTAAATTTCGTTTAAGGTGTTACGAATTTTGTTTTCCATATCTTCCACCATTCGCCCTATATTTGCGATGTGAGGATTCGCTTCGTTGACCGGCGAGTCTTGCTCAATCTGTCGTGTTAAACTTCCTCCGAGGTTCATTGTTCCCGAACCTTGTTTATTAGTCTGCAACCACAGCATAGCAGTGGAGGTCATTTTGTAATGTGATGTGCGGCCCGTACTTTTCTCTTGAACTTCGACTACGTGAATGGAGTCCCAACAGCCTTTAATTTTTTTACTACCGTCGCCTGCTTTCTTGATTAATATTACACCTGCAAGTAACACGAAATTACTTAATTTGCATTATTGTTGCAATTAAATGTCAAAAATGCCCAAATTTAGGTATACGGGCCTATACATACAATGTACATAGAAATAAACATATAGGGTGTCCCATTTACTATAAGTAAGTTGACATAAAGTGCACACTAGTATGTTGTCAAACATTCCGATGTATGGAGATATAGCATTAAAAATATAGATTGCTGGTATTTATCGTGGGACACTCTACAGCAAAAATTACCGGCAAATCCATGCTCCAAATCCCAGAAGTACACTGACGATACTCCGCCTTCGAAGTACATCTCGCGATACTGATCAAAAGCGTGATTCGCATCCAATTCCAGTTTTCTAAGCCGCTCTGACGGCATAGATCCGTCATCCAAAGGAGGATCGTAAGTATTCGACCACGGGGACCTGTGCATAGTTTACAGTGAATCGCAAATTTCAAACTACTCACCTGTAGGAATCCCCATCCCGGTTATAATCGCAAAGTAAATAGTCCTTCCCCGTCTCCTTATCCTTGGCAATTTTCAACGGTTGATCCACCGAAGAAAGTAAATCCTCGCAAAGGCTAGGAACTAAATCTATTAGGTCAACTAAATTCTTTTCGATTTCCTGTGGCGGCAGCCTTCGCATCAGGTCTAAGGCGCAATCAAACTGTTGCTCGCCCTGCGCGAAAGCAAATTTCTTAATTCAAGTTTTATTGTCTATTTAGTAATTACCATTATTTTCAGTCTATTTAATGAAGTTATTTAACTCAACGCCCTTTCCTTTGCTAATTTGACAGATTGAGGATGTGTAATCAAAATGTCAAGGATGAACTAACCTAAAAATGTTGTTATACACAAAGTGCTTCAATATTTTTCCCAAATAGTTTATTGAATTTTGTGTTAACAAACATCATCTATGTCTAATATTATTTATTATGGATAGTTAAATAAATAAACTTTTCTTACCCAAATCACATTCGCGATTCGCATGCATTTATTTTAAAATGCAGAGCAGATACAACAAAAATTATAGATGATAAAATGTAAAGCACTAATGCCCGTTTGCACCGACAAATTTAAGCGGAGCTTAGCTTAAGTGTAGCTTAAAATCCATGGCAACGGTTATTGAGACAATGGTTGCCATGGATTTTAAGCTACGCTTAAGCTAATCTCCGCTTAAATTTGTTGGTGCAAACGAGCATAAATCTTTGAACCGCGTTTTGCATTGTTCGCACACTATTATTAAACAGTAAACCACTATAAAAAGGCACGAGAGCACTGTGAAAATTGGAGAATTGGAAGAAATCGGAAGAATTTAAGATACCTGATTAGAAAAATTAAAACGTCCACAGAACCTCAAAGTGAAGAATACAAAGAATGGGAGACTTCGAAAATTCGAGCACAAATCCAATAGTCTAAAAGATTTGCAACAACTAAGAGTCAACCAAGGGATTGAGAAGCTCAACAGTTTAGAAAAAATCCGAAGAAATTCACAAACCTGAAGGATAAAAAGAGGCATATGGAAATCACTAATCAGAAAGATCCCGAGTATCAGAAAAAACTGAAAAAAATTAATTTCAAAAAAATCCAAATACTCCGAAGAAGCATCGGGGAAGTTTGATGATTATTATATTATGGATTTCAATAATTCGAGGAATCAAAAAGATAATCCAAAATTTGTAAGAATTTGTAGAACCTTATAGATTTGACTTGAAGGTTTTCTGGAATCTGAAAAGTAGAAAGAATTAGGAGAAACGAAAGAACTTTATGAACTAAAAAGATATTACCAATAAACATAACAGAAAATAGAAGACTAAAAAAAATCTTAAAATAAAACATCGAAAAAATCCGAACAATCTGAAATCTGGTGAACAAATTCAAGAAAAGAAGGAACGCAATTATTTGAAAGAATGATTCTAATCACTAGCTCTGTTAATCCAAAAGCTAAAAATAGCATAGAAATAAATTATTTAGTTACCTTGATGTTACTGTGTTGTAATTTCTGATTACTGGAAGAAAACAAAACGACTACTCCGCAAATTTCAATCACTCATTAGTCATTATAGGTACACTAAAATACGTGCAGGAATAAATTGTTCGGACGTAGATCATTATCTAATACAGTAGACTACGACTACGTGAAACTGTTCCATCCATGCAGCAACTCTTGATCAATCCCAGATTTTGTACAATATTGTAGAAAATGGCATTCATTTTCAATACCTATGAAACTTAAGTTCTTGGTTGAATTAACTAATTTTCTAAATTAGATAATACTGAAAATGGCGCATTAAAGTAATTTTTAGTAAATGTGTGTACGTTATATCAAGCATAATTATGCGCTTATAATTTGCGCATATTGCTTTTTAATACAAAGCCATGAAAACACACGTAATGAATTATATAGTTTAAAAAATTAATTATTACTTTTGACCTTTGCTGTACATATGGACACATATGACAACATCGCATTTTTAAAGAAAGTAAATATAACCTAATTTTCTTGTATAACATAACCCCAACTCCTTTGAACTTTTGAACGTGTTTGCAGTTAAAAAATGACTGCAGGAAAAGGGCAACTTGTTAAGAATGTGTTGAATTTGAATAAAAAAGTCGTATATCCGAAACCTTCACGAACCGAACCAAGAAGAGAGGTATCAGAATTCAATCTCGCACCATCGGAAAAGGGGAAGAGCAATGTTCGAGTAACCGATCTGACTGACGCCCTGAAGAAGCAGTCCAAACAAGCAGGTGTTCGACAAAGAATTCGTTCATTCGAAAAGAAGGTTAAACCATTACCGAAACCTTTAGAAAAAGTGAAAGCGGATCGTATCCGTCGCAGTACTGCGTTTGACAAAGTGAAGAAGCATTTAAATCGATGGAATGCAGTGGTTACGTCCAACCGAGCGTCAAACCACCTCACATTTCCCTTACAAGACGACCTCAAATTGGAGTCGGGCAAGAATTTTACGACCTTTCGTATAAAATCTGATCTCCAGAAACGACTGGAAACTTTCGAGGAGCCCGGCGAGGTGTTTAACTTGGAAAGTGAGCCAAAGTATCCGCTAACAATGCAAGAGATGCTCGAGCGGCGAAAGGAAATGAAGAAAATGAAGATCATCGAAAGTCAGAAGGCGGCCAAGGCGCGACGACAGAATAAAATAAAAAGTAAAAAGTATCACAGAATTCAGCGACGCGAGAAGATAAAGGGGCAAATCAAGGAATTCGAGGGGCTGCAACAGACGAATCCGGACGAGGCACTTAAGAAACTGGACGAAATCGAACGGGTTCGTGCCGAGGAACGAGCCAGTTTGAGGCATCGCAATACAGGGAAGTGGGCGAAAAGTAAGCAGATCAAAGCGAAGTACGATAGTACGGTAAGTTCAGAGTTTTATAATGTAAAAGTACCCTTGAAAAGTGTATCACTATGGTTCGGTCCATATGGTGGGTTTATAGAGTCATTTCATTAGTCAATTAAAGAATCATCACTTCTACCATAAGACAATCTCCTTCCTCGAAATCTTTCAAATCAAGCGCCAATCAGAAATCACAATCAGACTTGATAATGCTTTAAACTTTAAAGGAACGGAGTCTCCACTTGCGCTGAAATAAATCGCAATTCTTCCAACCACTTTCTTCTCTAACACCGATAAGAACACGTGCGTGTATTAAATTTCGTCGCAAACGACCAGATGTCCCTATATTTTAACACGCAATTGTACTTACGCTTTACAAATTATAACGGTTGGCAGAGTTGACGATACGTTTCCGCAAACCGGCGCATAAACGACCAACTAGTTTAGGGTTTGAAAATAAAATATAAACTTGAGATCTGTCACAGTGGTAGTTCGTTCTACGCATCTGATCTTAACTTCGTTGCACTTACCAATGGTTGAGCGCCACTCAATTTCTAACTTAACTCTTCCCCGAGCTCTTCCCGTATGAAATTGAGAATATACGAGGGTAGTAATAACACATATTAATTTAGGTACCAAAAGAAATACTGGTTTATTCCAATATCCAATAGCAAAAATAAAAATTGTCTCCACAATGGGATAGCGTATCACACAAATACAAAACATTATTCCCAAACATTCAAAATTATATGCACTACGTTACTCACAACTCTTAGTAAATTCACAAATTTTCCAGTTTAACAAATCGTAAGGGCGCATGGGTTTAGATGAATTGCGCGTTTCATATTGAAAAATTCGGTACGTTTGGCAGCTCCTGTTGTGCGACGGTTAAAGAGCGTGTTGGTCATATAATTCGGGTTATAAAGCAAAGTGAAGTTCAGAAGGAAGTGGTTTTGTGTCAGCTTTAGTGCGCCTAGCATCGCAAACCGTGCACGGACAGATTATTTATTGAGAAAAAACTGTAAGTGATTTTTAAAATTTTTTACTTTACTGTTAACCGCGTGCGTGCGGGGTAATATGTCCAAACAATGAATTGTGTGTTTATTCGAATCCATTGTGCGACTCGGATAGAGTTTTCGTCAGATTTTTCTTTTCGTGCCCAAGAATTATGTGTCAGCTGTTAATGTGTTTTGTGGGTGGTATAGTGGCCGCATGCCATTGCACCCAGCAATATATTTTACCTAAACAATTTTGTGATGGTGTTTTTTTTATGAGTTTTATTTGAGGTTTCATTGAAATCGAGTGAAAAATATTGATTTCGTCTGAAATCCTGAAATAAAGGTATCTTGTCGCAACTCGCCCAACTCCTATTTAAACCCTTCTTTATAGATTTAACTTGAAGGATCGGCTCCATATATTGAATCAACATAGATACCAAGCATGGCAAGTCTCTCATAAATAAGCATCTAAAGCGAAAGAAACCACTGCACCCATTGTTGGTTCTATGCGTGCTAATGTGAAATTCGTGTTTCAGAATCGGCAAGAATTAGCCCAGCAGCTGATGATTAGTCGCGAATTGACGCAGAAGGTGCAGGCGGACGATGACCGTTCGGAATCAGAGGACGAAAACGTTCCAAAGGCGCCCACCGTCAACAACGACAATCCCTGGGTGAACCAAATTAAGACGTCGGAGGAAGTCGAGACCTTCCTGAAAGGCTACCGAAAATTTTGGGAAGAGAAAAATGCAACCAAAACGGAGGCGAGCGCGGTGGTTGAAGCGGATGCAAGCGCGGTGGTTGAAGCGGAAGCGATGAAATCAAATGCGGACGTAGCAGTAGAAGAGGAAGAGTCAAATACAGTGGTAGAAACGGAAGTGGAAATAGTCAATCTCGCGAAAGAAGATGTTGGTGCTTCGGTACCGGAAGAA